ATATTTATATTTATATTTATATTTATATTTATATTTATATTTATATTTATATTTATATTTATATTTATAAGCAGATATATACTCTTACTTAATGGATATATACAATACATATGTACACAAATACGTACATATACATACGTATACGTACATATACATATACATATACTTTACGTATATACGTACATCTATACATATATTTATATTTATGTATACAGATATATATACATTTATTTACATGGATATTTATATTTATGTATATTCGTGTATATATACGTGTACTTTTATTTTTATTTATTATTTATATATATTTATATTTATTTATTTATTTATATTTATTTATTTATTTATATTTATTTATTTATATAGATATACATATTTAGGCCTTAAGGAGACATTTATACACCGTAAAATATAAATAAATAAAATAAATAAATATAAATAAAATAAATAAATATAAATAAATATAAATATAAATAAATATAAATAAATAAAATATAATTAAATTATAAAGGATTTAAATTGTGATGATGCCTTATGAGGGTTTAGGGTTTAGGGTTTAGGGTTTAGGGTTTAGTGAGCTGTGATGGTTAGCTGTGTATAATTAGGGTTTAGTAATTAGGGTTTATGAGGGTTTATTAGGGTTTATAATTAATTAGGGTTTACTTGTTGTTTATACTGAGGCATTTGCTGCAAAAAAGAAGAAGAAAGAAAACCCCTATTAAGTTCAATTGCTGCTGCTTGTTTGCTGCTGCTGCTGCAGCAGCAAACAAGAAGAGCAGCAAGAAAAGAAAAACAAGAAAGAGTATTCATATTGTATATTATTACGGTGTATAGGCAGGTAAATAAAAAATAAATAAATATATAAATATATAAAAAAAAGAAAGAAAAAGAACTTATAATGATTAATATTTATATATAAATAAATAGATAAATAGCTGCCTATACACCGCAGCTATGAGGTCACCACCAGGTGTATAGGCAGCTATATACCTACTTATAAGGTCTTATGTATATATACATACATATATATACATTATTTTTATTCTTTTTTTTATTTTTTTTATTCTTTTTATTATTTTATTTTATATTTTATATTAATTTAATAAAAAAAAGGAGAAAAAGAGACAAAAAAGAGACAATAATCAAGGAGACAGCCATCAGTATACCTGCACGTACACCCGAAGGAAGGGAGGGTCTCCTTTTTTATCCAGCTGTCTCCTTTTCTTGTTCTTCTTCCTCTTAATAAATAATTATTCCTTTTTATTTATTTATTTATTTATTTTATTTATTTTATTTATTTTATTTATTTATTTAATTAAATAAATAAATAAAAGAAAAAAAAAAAATAATTGTCTCCTCTCCTCATCGATTTGTCTCGATTGTCTCCTCGATACACACAAAGGAGACACCTAACTAACTGTCTCCTTTTTGTCCTCCTTTTGTCTCCTTTTTGCCTCCTTTTTGTCTCCTTTTATCTACATCTGTCTCCTTTTGTTGCATTTCTTTCCGTTAATGCCTATATGTGTCTCCTTTTCTGTCTCCTCCTGTCTCCTCCTGCTGTCTCCTTTCCTGTCTCCTCTTTCTGTCTCTTTTTGTCTCCTTTCCTCTCTGGAGTTAATCAGCCTAATGGCTAGCTAGATAAAAGGGAAGCTAGCTAGTACCTACACAGCAAGACAGCCAGCTACACTAGCTACCTGCAGCGCCCTACAGCTAGCTAGCTAGCTAGCTAGCTAGCTAGCTAGCTAGCTAGCTAGCTGTACAGCTGGCTACGGTGACATAAAGGGGACAATATTTGCGGTGTCTCCTCATCTCCACAAAAAAACCCTTAAGGGAATTCCCCTCATCAAACTGTCCTTAGTTAAGGGCTAGCTAGCTAGCTAGCTAGCTAGCTAGCTAGCTAGCTAGCTAGGTAGCTAGCTAGCTAGGTAGGTAGACAGCCCTCTGTATGTCTAGCTAGCTAGCTAGCTAGCTAGCTAGACATAAGAGTTTACTCGGTATAATGTGCCGCCTCCCTGGCAACAGGCAAGTAATTAATTACGCTGCATGTAGTCAGCTAGCTAGCTACGTATCTATCCAGTTAGCTAGCTAGCTAGCTAGCTAGCTAGCCAGTGAGTTGCATGCTAGCTAGCTGTGCAACCTGTCTCTTATATTCATCAAGAGAAATACATAGAGAATTAGATGGTAAAGAAAAAGAAGAAGAGGAAGAAGAAGGAGAAGAAGAAGAAGAAGGAGAGGAAGAAGAAGAAGAAAAAGAAGAAGAAGAAGAAGGAATTAATAAAGGAGCAAAGGAGACACCTACAGGAGGAGACACAGGCTTAATACGTGACGCAAAGGAAGCAGCAGAGGAAGCAAGCTGCGCATACACCACAAATAAATAAATAAATATATTATTAATTAATTAATTAATTAATTAATTAATTTATTTATTTATTTATTATTATTGTGTGTAAAAGGAGATAGGAGACACTAGAAAGGAGACACAAGACAGGTGTCTAAACCCTAAACCCTAAACCCTAGACCCTAAACCCTAGAGGAGACCTACAGCAACATAAGGAGAGACAAGTTGTTGTTGCTGCTGCTGTGTCTTCCCTATACAAGCAGATAAACTATTAAGAGAAGAGGAGACACCCCCTAGTCCTATAAGAAGAAAGGAGACAAAAAAAAGGAGACAAAAAAAGGAGACAAAAAAGGAGACACTTTTTTTTTATAATATAGAGACACACATCAACAATACCTGCTGCTGCTGCTGGACTTGCTACAGTTCACGAACACCACCAACAACAGCAGCAGCAGCAGCAGCAGTAGCATCACGAACAGCAGCAGCAGCAGCAGCAGCAGCAGCAGCAGCAATAAAAGGGAGAGAG